AAGAAAATGTTTTTCTCCCTGAGCCTGGCCTTCATAATTCCATTCCATCATAGTACTACAACAGCCATAACTTTGAGGGCCGGTTGTAAGTCCCTTAGTTCAGCACTGTTGTAACCCCGAATGGTTGCCAAATGGTTGTAACTCGAGGACTACCTGTATAGGTTATCTTGATTATGAAAAAATGTTTATCTTGACTGAATTTACATACTGCAACTTTTCTCTTGACTGCACTTTGTATAAGAAATGATTTGCCTCTCTTATGCAAGAAGACAAGTTGTATATATCAATGGCTTGGTTCACATAGTGCACTAAATCATAATCTTGGTTTTAGTTCAGCTTGAAGCGTGAATCTAAGCCAGTTTGCAATTACAATGTATGGCTTTCCAATAAACCATAGTTAAAGACAAACATTGGGCTTAGTGTGAATTTTGTCCATACATGAGGATACATGAGGATACTGATTCAGGCCAGCCCAGTTCCTTGAAAAAGCAGTTCAGTTCTATACTACATTCAGGTTTGAATGTAGTAGGCTTTATTTCCCATACAATGCCTGCTACAGTGTCCTGAGTTACCACCATTCCCACTGAACATTTGTTTAGAAAAGAAAGATGAATGTGCAAGGTTAATCAAAGTAAGGCATACTTTCGGTTTTGGTCTTAAAGAGAGGGGAAAAAAACCTTACATTTTTCTAGTACCCTTAAAAAATAACACAAACATGCTAATACAGATGAACTGACCTCATTCCAACCCTTTATGTGAAAACTATCATGTCATGAACAGTGTTTAAAATCAATCACATTCCTTTGATTTTCCCTAGAAACAAAACAATATCACAGTAAGCAGAGTGGGCTATTACACAAGAAGGTACCAACCTTGACAGCTCGTTCATTTTTAATTCTCTCTACCTCAATTAAGTTCCTGTCACAGAGCTCCCAGCAGTTGGGGGACAGGATAATTTCACTTGCTTTAGCTAAGTTTTGGGCCAACCGTACTTCATCCACTGCCCGGCCAGTTACCACAAAATGTTGTTGCCTGTTGTCACCAATGACAACTTTTGAGATGTGACCTGCAGAGAGTCCTGAGAAAAGATTCAACTTCTTTATTAGAGAAGCTAATTACAGCATACTGAAATAAAATGGGGGGAAGGGGAATTGCAAGTGAGATAATTGCTTGGAGGTGAAATAAATTCACAGTCCATAAGTATCCAGAAATACTTTTACTAATGAACTTTTCTCTTTGCTGATAAAAGATAATGGGTTCTTTGACTGATCTTTGCTTCATTTTTAAAATTATGGTTCCATTATTTTTTACCTTTGACCCTAAGTGTTGTCGAACAGGAATAGAAATTTAATAGAGGTTATTTATTAGCTATAGCCACCATTTGCTTTCATTTTGCTTCTGTTTCTCTCAGCACAGGATGAAGTTAACACACATGTTATATTACAGCCTTTTTATAAGAAATAGGCTCAACACTTTGTTCTAGAGCAAGGGAGTGGTACCTATCTTCACTCGTAGCTCGAGTCCCACTTCAGTATCACGAACACCATACTCTTGTTGGATGCTGAAACTACACTTCAGTGCCAGAGTGATGATGTCATTTAAATGGCAACGCTCCACCTTCCAGAGCACCAACAGTGCATCGCCTGGAAAGAAGAGAACAAGTCATTGAGCTTGTTGTATTTTCAAGATTGTATTTTCAGTTGTTTAACAGAATTATAAAAAATGAGCATCATTGCACGACTACTTGTTCCTGGAATAACACAATGATCTTCCATATCAGTGTTTCTCAACCTTGGGAACTTTAAGATGTGTGAACTTTAATTCCCAGAATTCCCCAGCACTGCTAAAAAACTATTAACTGGATTCTGTCTGCACATTTCAGAAGAGGGGAAGTTATATACTACTGTACTGTGTCTGAGCTTAGCTAGTAAAGCTTTACTAATGCTTTACTTTATGTTATTGTAATTTCAATGTTTTATTTTTTT